GGCGAGATCTTTGTCTCTTTGTTGCAGTTCAGTGAAAGTTCAGATAACTCCTGCAGTGATTCACTGTCGGATTGTTCACAAAAGTGTAGGAACGTATGCGTAGTGAAGAATGTTTAATGTTTTTAATAAAATTGCCCATGACTTTGAACTTTTAGGGACGGAAATTCTTTTAAGAGCAGAAGTGGAAATGTGAAGCGACAGCTCTGATGTGATATTAGGAAGCTTGTTATGTTTAAAATTGAGTGTTTATGTAATTATTTTTAGCGTACATATCCAATATAAGTTTTATTTGTTCTAGGCAGTGTAGATGAACATATGCTGTGATATATTCATAAATTAAACGAATTCATTCATTTTTCTGGACTGAATAATATCATGTGTTGAATTATTAAATGTGGATGGAAACGTTAATTTTCTTTGACCCATCAAAATGAATGCGGTCATTTATTTACAGAATCAAAGTTTAACATCACACATTTACATTAATTTGGCAAAATGAAAATAACAACATGGCTAATTTAGCAAGTTTTACAAACAGGAAAACCATCCGGCCATGATTTCCCTTTGCTTCACAACAGACATTTCTGGAAATATCTGGAATGATTTGCTAGCAGATAGAAGAGTTTTAAAGATGGAAATGAAGTTTAAGTTGAGAGAAAGGATGGATGAGGGAAATGTGTGTGTCGGCATCAGAACGGCACTCTCCGGTGAGTTCCCAGCTTCTTCCCCGGTACACTTAGGTGGTATAAATCCACTCTTTACCTGGAGATGTCTCCACTGGTACGAAGTTCCATTTAACGCACCCTTTCAGCGTCTCCCTAGGAACAGCTGTGAATCGTCCGAAGTAGTGACGGTACTTGTTCGACACGAGTTCACCTCTTGGTGGACTCACATGAGTGGAGTCCGTCAGAAGTTCCACTCAGAGGTGGAAGATGTCATAATCCCCACAAGACTCGGAAGAGCTCTGGATCATGCCTGGACTTCTGTTCTCCCCAGCACTGGAGCTGCAAACGACTGAAGCCGGAGCCTGAAGCGACTCAAGCTCTGCAAACTCTCCACCCGACTGGTTTGAACTAGGAAGTACCGACATTTAAAGAGCTCTATTTCCGGTTCATTTGGGAGGTTCCTGATTGGTCGTTTCGACCAGACAGGGGTGTGTTTTTGTGACGTAAGAGGTCACTAGAAGTCAGAAAAACAGCAAGAATGTTATGGAACAGATTGAAAATGTTTTTCAGACAGACGAGAGGAATATTTAGGCGAGTTGGGGGAAAACAGGTGCCAGCCTCTATATTTACGTCTGAGAGGATTTAAAAACATGACAGTTCGTTCCAACAACTTGTTTTGCGTTTGACTCCAACCTTGGACCAACTTACACTTGCTCATTCAAAGACAGAAAATCAGAAAATGCATAATTACTCTGTAACAGACCTTAACGTGATTTCTACTTTGCATGAGGATTAAAAATCACTAATACTGTTTCACAGTTGATTAAAAATGAGTAGTTCACTTCAACATTTAAAAATGGTTTGAACTAAACACACTTTGATTATCAAACATTTGTAAAATAGTAATGATAATAGAAAGTAGTGTTCTTTCACTTGATCAATTCAAGAAAGAAAGTCTCAGGATGGGTCAACCTGTATTTCTGGATTCAAATCAATGAAATGACAGTTTCTGTCCCATAAGGTCCTTAAGGTCAGGATTTGACCTCAGGCCTAGTTCACTACAGCAGTCAAATTATTTCATAAATTTATTATTATTATGCCTGAGAGTCACCGAGCAAACAGTTACCGGACCACAACCGTGTCTAATTAGGAGAGTTCCGGATGTTGTTCCGGTAAGATCTAGCTCAGATTAAGCCCTGGCCCCCAGCTGGGATTTGAACTCGCTAGGAGATGGCAGCTCTATCAACTGAGCCACCGTGCTGCTCCCCAAAAATATGACTCATGAATTCATTCACTTGTTTGTATCTGTTTGTTGCTGTGTGTCAGAGACAGCTACCTCCTGTACTTTTTTAAATTTTAATTTATATATTTTTGCAGCCTGTTTGAATAATTATAAACTTAACACAAAATAATCCCAGGAAGAACACTACATGTCAGAAACATAAGACATTTGCAGAGGAACACCTGAAAGTTATCTCAATGTGTGAACGTTGCAAACTAAGGTCACATACATGTTTAATATAATTCTTGATTTCCATGCTTTAGTGTTTTAAAAATGTCTTCTGTCCTGCTGTTGCACATTTTGTTAGTGTCTGAATAAAAATGATTTTGGTATTTCTTTTTAAGACCTTGTCTTAGAAGCCAAGTTGTCCTGCAGGTGGTCACCTGATATAACCAACCAGGCCCTGTGAAAGGAGTTTATTCTTTATCTGTCTAACAACCAGGAATCTTAAGAGTCCAGGAGTCTTTGTTCATGATGGTGTCATTAAGTCCCACAGGAGAAGTCTGACCTACAACTGATACATGTCAGGTGGTTCAGGAGCAGCGTATCCTGTTAAACACAGTATTTTAACCTGGTACAGTAGTCCCTTGTTTATCTCGGGATCCGTACCCTGAAGCCCCGCAATAAGTAAAAAACCGCAAAGTATGAATAATA